CAGAAGTAGATCTCTTCTGGAACTTCTGTACTTTCTGACCATAGTTCTGTACTAGATCACTTTCTGACCAAAATTTTGGTTAGTGTTTTTATTCATGGTACTTTCCTGAATTACAGTCATGTTGAGGAGTTAGTTCGGTTACCACAATGCTTCCTTTGTTATACACCTTCGCTTGAAGCTGGGCCTGTTTGTCCTACTCCCGCTCTTCTAATGGCTTCATTACGTTTGGTAGCTTCAACAATCTTGCCAAGGTAGTGTTTGAGTAAAATGGATTTAATATTTTTCTTTGTTGACTAAGAGCATGCTCTGGGAGAAGTATCCCTTGACTTCAGGGACTTGTTTTGTTTCATATCATCAGATCACACCTAAAGTGTTGCAAGTTTGGGCAAGGATATTACGTCAAGTTCCAAATTCACGCCTTGTGGTAAAATGCAAACCATTTTGTTGTGATAGTGTGAGACAGAGATTTCTTGCAACGTTGGAGCAGTTAGGTGTGGAGCCACTATGTGTTGATCTTCTGCCCCTAATTCTTCTAAACCATGACCACATGCAAGCATACTCTCTGATGGATATCAGGTAATATCTATTTTACATTCTGAAGGTATTCATATGTGCAACTTCAGCCTTATTATTTTACATTATGAAGGTATTAATGTTGAATAATATTGCGATAGAGTCTTATCTTTTCTGTTTTATCATCTTTGTAATTTTTTTCCTCTTCAACTTTTCTATATTCAATCACCTATTGGTTACTGGAGCTAGCTTAAACTCCTTTAACTTTACTGAAAATCTTGTTCAGTTATAATTTATTGAAATTGCAATTATGGGAAAACTGATAGAAACCTGCTTGAGTCCCACGTTGAGTGGGCCCAAGTAATTTTAGTGGTATGTAAGTGGCATGATTTTACCAATTGGAGACCAAAGCATGGGAACACATAACCTTCAAACAAAGTGTCTGGTAAGGGGGAAGAACTGTATCTTTTAATTTCCCATGGAAATACTTGTGGCTTGCCAATTAGGAGAGGGGAAAGGCATTATATTAATTGGGGAATGTGATTATAAATTTTTTTTGCATCCTAAAAGTTGAGAGTTACTTTAATAATGTTTGTTTCTCATCCTGATAATTGTATCTGATTTTGGATATTAGAGTAATCATGCGCCTTCTGTCTTCATTGTCTATGTTATATTACCTTGATGACTATGGTAGTAAAGATTGCCTAGTCAATCAAAACAACAGAACGAAACAAAATGAAATGATTTGGTGTTCAAATGCAGATTATGGGATCATCTGTTTGTTCTTCATTTAGTTTGTTTAGTCCTTGTGGTATACCCCTTTTGGTCCTATATACACGTCATGTTTAACCACCTTACCCGAATTAAGGAGATGTAGGTAGATTATTGATATTATTTGCGAAAGAGAGAAATTTTTTAGTTTACCCTTATTAAATGCATCGTCTTTAAAAGCAATTTCTGCCCCATATGTAACCTTTTGCTCTACTTAGAGAAATTTGCAAAAATGTAAAATTGGAATAAAGTAATTAATAGCTCACCTTCCTTTTGGAAGATGACTCGTATATAGGATTGGAGGGAGTATCTCTGTTGCATCCAGTTTTGCTGACTCTTGTAACTGATATCTAAAATCTTGCTACATTATTCAGCTTATCCGTATGGCCTTAGATGTTCTATCTTCATGCAGTGGTTTCAATCTTGCACCATGATTATATTTTTTTATCTTTTTGACAGGCGCTTTGTTAGCTCTAGCAAAGTGGAAGTCAAAATTACAGTACTCCAAACTCTGATGATAATTTATTATTTTAAATGTTTGGGCAAGTGCATGTGATTAACTATCACTTAAAAGTCTTGAGGGCGCCATCATATGTCTGGGATATATAGCTGGTCTTATACCCTTTTTAATTAACGATGCCTTGTTTCATGTATAGTTTGGACACATTTCCTTATGCTGGAACAACCACCACATGTGAATCTTTGTACATGGGAGTTCCATGCGTCACTATGGCTGGTTCTGTACATGCACACAATGTTGGTGTTAGCCTTCTTAGCAAAGTTGGTAAGATACTCATTTTTGTCTCTTTATTTGTTGCCCTTATACGTTGTGTGAAATTTTTTCATTCCAGCTTCAGGCAGTATTGGCTAATGCTGGGGGAGGTTCCATGTTCAAGAATGAATTTAAAAGCCTGAAATTTCCTTTTAATACTGATGGTGGTTAATTAATTCCTTCATTCTCATCAATAATTTTGAGCCATGTGTAAACCCTGTGCCCTTTCCGTACTCCCTTTTTTGAAGAGTTATATTGCCTTGTCATGTCTTCTTGCCTCTGCCATTTCTGCAAGATTTATCATCATTAGGAGGAAGAAAAGTTGCATGCTGCTGGTTAGAGTAGATTATGTATCGATGCTAGGCAAATTGTGATACAATAATAATAAGCCTTATCCCACTAGGTGGGACTAGAAAAATTGTGATACCCAGCACAAATCTTATTTCATCTCAACTTTGTTGAGCTAACAGTTTGGACCCCGCTGAATCTCAGTGCCATTTCCTTTTGCTGAGAATTGCTGGCCCGTGTATTTCACCAAGTATCTAATCTGTTTGGTCCTGCATAGTGACATACAAGTTGAAAGTCAACAGAACAGAATAGTTGAAAATGTAGGTTCTCTGTAATGTGGATGCTGAAGTCCAGAATTTTTAAAGGACAGCCTCCGAAGCCCTGGACCATGGTTTGTCCAGCGGGCTGCTTAAAATTCTTTAGTGATCCTGCATTCCAATCATGCTGATTAATAATTTGAGATAATGGGTTTGTTTTTCATCCTTTTTTCATGGGTCAAATTGTTTTGATGGATATGCATTTGAGCTTAGTCAAACCGCCCATCCTCCCCCCCCCCCAAAAAAAAGGAAAGAGAGAAAGGAAAGGAAAGGAAAAAAGGGAAACGAAGTTAATTGAGCACCATTATTTATCTTTTCCTTTGCTTTAAAAAACTGAAGGATGTCTCGTTACAAAATATAGGTCTGAAGCGTTTGGTTGCCGGAAATGAAGATGAATATGTCCAATTGGCTCTACAGCTGGCCTCTGACATACCAGCCCTACAAAAGTTGAGGATGAGTCTTCGAGAACTCATGTCCAAGTCTCCTCTTTGTGATGGAGCGAATTTTACCCTTGGGCTAGAATCAACATTTAGGAACATGTGGCGCAGATATTGCAAAGGAGATGTTCCATCTTTAAAGCGCATAGAATTGTTGCAGCAATCAGCCCCAATGAATGTCCCATCTAACAAGACATCAGAGCCAACAAGTATAGCCAACTCAAGAGACAGCAGCCCAGGATCTGTCAAGACCAGTGAATTAAATTCATCGCAGCCATCCAAGCTCAATATCCGTAGTTGTGAAGAAAATGGGGGGTCATTGAATCACTCTAGTAAACAAGGGAAGGTGGGTTCTAGTTAAAGCTTCATCCGAGAATCGTTTGTAGTGATTCAAGGATGTTGGACTGTTAGAATAGGAGCAATACTGCTAGGTTGAAATGATGTATATTGTAGTGGTTGCTTGCTGTTGGAAGAGGTCTGCAGCAACTACTGCATCAAGATTTACAGTCATAGAATGACAATTTTTTGGGAAAAGGTTAGGCTACAGTCATGAATTCGGTTTTGGACCCCAAGTGCAGCGGATTTACAAGTGGTGATGTTGCTTTCAACATATTTCAGTAGCTGATACACATTTTCCCACGAATTATAGAAGCTAGTTGAGTGTAAATTTTGTGTAATATTTTACTTTCGGTCAAGGTTCTTTATTGTTCTCTTTTAATGTTGCAGATAATCAGAATATGGCGAAGGAATATTTTGCTCTGCAAAGTGAATAGCGACAAAATACAAGATTGTTAATATTTTAGCTGTCGTGTTATATTTATAAATGTAAAATTTAATATCAGAAAGCGAGCAGTTCAAAACCTGATTTGATGCGAAGAGAAATCATCCGTTTTATTCGTTGTGCCTTGACCGTGATCAATGTTGGGCAAATTCTAGGTAATCATGATCTATACCGGGAAGGCTTCTTTTCATTCAACGCCGTCAACATTTTTATAAGGAATTCAGTTCAAGTTTATAATTTACGGAATTACTCATCATTGAAACCTTAACGACCTTTCCTGAAATGAATTGTTAAAATAGATTCAAGACAAGGATCTATGAAAAAAGAGTTTGTTAAACCACTGCAAGAAATTAACTCTTTAACTGGATCAAAAAGAAACCAAGTTCAGTTATGGATAAAATAAAAGGGGCACTTATATGTAAAATAGTTATTTTGGGGGTCAAATATGATTTCATGTAACTTGCATGAAAACTAATAATAGAATCACGGAGATAGAAAGAAAAGGATCAGAGAGATCTGCGGAGGTCATTAAAAGCGCTAAATCTCATCTAACTAGTTCCAATCTTGGATCATCATTCACATTTTAGTACAAATGATATAATGGTAAAAAATTTCTTCAATTCTAAAAGTTCATAATGCAAATCTCATCCATGATAAGAAATACTTTTGCAAACAATTGTCTCTAAACGTTACCATAATTGAACAACTATGTCTAACTCAAAACCCACTACACGTTTTCCCCATTTTCATACAACATCCACATGGATTTGATGTAGAAGCCACAACAAATAATTTTTTATCAAGTTGAATGAATCATCGATGACTCAATATGAGATACAGGTGATAAGGATAAAATTTTTTAAAAAATGACAAAATTAGGAATTGAATTTTAAACAAGTTAAAAATTCAAGAATTGAGTCACACTAAATCATAACTAAACAGTGAGTCAAAACTTAAAGGATTAAAAGATTAATTTTTTCAAATTAATAATAGGATCATGAAGAAAGAAAGAAAGATCAAGGATACCTGTGAGGTGGCTTTTGTTAAATGCGTTAAATCTCATCTAACCAGTTCTAATCTTGGTTCATCATTTTGCACATTTTAGTACAAATGACACAATAGATCAAAAATTTCTTCGATTCTAAAAGTTCATAACGCAAATTTCATCCATGGTAAGAAATACTTTTGCAGATAATTGAATCAGGTTCTTCGTCTACCCTGAATATAAAGTTCTGTAAGAAATCCACAACTTCCACTACCTCATCATGATAAAATTAAAGTTGCCGTTGATAGTCCAGATTTCCTCCCCATTTCTGCAAGGAACTCGTGATAAAATTACAATCCCCGGTTGTCCGTATAATACCGTGGGAACAACAGTTCTTGGATATCAGGGAAGGGAATTTGTGTCAATCCTTACCGATGTCCTTAGTATCTTCACATCATGGATAGGCCTAATATCAGTACAAATTGGAAAATAATAATTAATCAAATAAATTCGTGCAGACCACAGGGGCCAAAAAAAAAAAAAAAACTGTTAAAATAAGACTAAGCTGGAGGTTGGTGAAATTGGATTTTGATCGTATAATGCGATGGGAAAGGCGCATAAGACGCAAAAAGTATGATTTTATTTCAGAAAGATGAAGAAATTGGCATCTCAGCAAGCCACAAATAAAAAATGAAACTTCAAAAAAGAAAAAACGAAATATCAGAATTTAAACCAATAATGACAATTTCCTCAAGCCAATGCAATGGTTAAGCAAGTATATTAAAACATATAAATGCTTTCTGCATAATTTTCTTTCATGCACCGGTAAAAAAATAAGGAAAGGAAAGGAAAGGAAAGGAAAGGAAAGGAGGAGGAGGAAGAAACATGCACACAAGAAGCACAAAAACTAAACGATGCACGAGGTAGCAAACTAGCAATTATGCCTATTGACCGGATTAAATAAAACAACTTTAACTGTAATCATCCCCCAAGATATCCCAACATCTGGCTAAGACTATTGCCCATTTGGTTCAACCCCATTGCAGCCCTGCAATGGTATTCCAGACCTCATTACCGTAGAAATGCTGTTTGGTTGGGTTTTGGAGCGTGCCCAAGGTGATTCTCATTAGCAAAAATGGTAGTGAATAATCATAGATACCTCCAATGAATCTTGATTACCATCCATAACCACCCCCTATCCCAAAAACACCCTCATCCCTTATCAGGTTCCTGCCGTCCCCTTCCTTCCTCCTCTCATCATCCCCCAACCAAAGAAAAAAACTGCACTTCCTCCCGTTTCATCCATTCCACTGCTGCTAGCCTCTTCTCCAACTCTGATGAGACCTTCTCCAACATCAATGGTGTTTGTGAGAGCCATCAAGTCCAATTCTAGAGCCTTCTTCTCCACATTTGCTGCATTCACCAACAGGTCTATCACATCAAATGCAACCCGCCAGCAAGACCATCAACACCTTCTCCAGATCATTGAGTTTCAGATCTATTGGACTATCACCAGTGTCAGTCTCCAACGTCATCCTTCTTTGAACTCACCAATGGCGGCATTCTTCATGGCATTCTTTGTCTTATAAGACCTTTTCCAGATCAACATTGATCTCCAGCACCAGCCTTCTTCCAGATTTCACCTTTGAAGTACAATTCCATATCTATTTTCCATATTCTCAGAATTCAATTTCCAGATCTGATTATGTTGTGTGATTTTTCTAGTTGATGAACTGATTGCGTTGATCTGTGAATGTTTGCCAGCAAATAAGAAGGATTTTTCTTTTGTGACCAGGGCTAGAAGAGTTTTGGTATTGATTACCAGAACATACCAAACAAGCACCTCATAATCAACATTGCACTATACTACATTGTATTACATTGCATTACCTTAGAGGTTTGTAATTGAACCAAGCAGGCCCTATGCTTTACGATACTTAATACCCTAAGGTGTGTTTTTGGCCAACTAAATATATGGTGTGTCATAATCAGAATAAGAAACTAAAGGCAAGATGCAATATATGAGGAGTGGTATACAATTCGGTCAAAATTATGCACAATATTTTACATACCTATCATTGCTATCAGTTTGGACACTGCCAAGTCTCTTGATAATTTCCATCCCCTGACATACTCTTCCAAATATGGTGTGTTTACCTGGAGGAACCAGAATCAATAATTCAAAATTGCTAACAATTGCAAAAAGCTTAAGATGTAACTTACAAAGATCACTAAAAAACTAGCCAAACATGTCACGCTTTCAGTCAACTATTACTAATACCAAATCTAATGTTAAAAGTTTGCCTGAGTGGACTCTCTAATCCAAAATGAAAACATAACTAAGGAGTGGAAATCTTGGCCTACTGTCTAGTGTCTACCTTAATGAAAAGATTACATTTGAGAAGCCAAATACTTCAATAACCAGTTCTGCACTAGTTCTGTCTTTGATTCATTCCATCGGTGGTGATGCAAAAATAAGTACTAAGAAATTATCAATTATGTAACGGCCAATAAAATAATCCAAGAAATTACAAAAACCAAGTTATGACAGTTAGGACAAAGACTGGTAGGAGTAATGTTAAAAGGTTTCTGAGAGCTAACATTTGTGGAAAAGTTTCCTCTCCTTTTTAGTCCACAGAAAGTAAATTTCAAACTTTTTATCTGTCAATCCTTCCTAGATAATCCTTAAAAATTCGATAATTCTTTTACTTATGTTTGGCTTTAACATCCAAATTCAGACAGCAACACAAAAGAATGATAAAGCTTCATAGTAATTGCTTTCCTTTAAAACTAAATCTTGCATCCTACTTGTAAACGACTCAACCCACAAATACAAATGTGGATACATCACACGATTGCATGCACTGTATCTCACACCCAATAATATTTTGAAAGTATTGACCCAAAAGCACTAAAATTTGAAGTTGTTTAAGAGGATAACATAACAGCATTTCATGGAATAGTGCAGTAAACCCAAGAATATTTTGAAAGTATTTGCGCAAAAGCATTAAACTTTGAAGTTGTTTAAGAGGATAAGATAACGGCATTACCATCCAAAGATGGGCATGGCGCCAAAGTAATGAAGAACTGACTACCATTAGTATTTGGGCCAGCGTTTGCCATGGATAAGATACCAGCTCCGGTGTGCTTCAACTCCTGCCTTATCTCATCTTCAAATTTTGGACTGTGATAAACAATAAGAGGAGCAATAAATTATCCCATGCTAAATAAACTTAATTAACTTGTTGTTCGATACTTCGGTGCCACCACACAATGGCCAAGCAAGACAAAATTCCAAACAGCAAGCAAATAAGTATTAAGGCAGCTCTGATAGACACCGATCAAAAAGCAATACGGAAAGAAAGCGCCAATATCATGCTGCATATAATCAAAGTGGAAAAACTAAGAATCTTTAAAAACATACCCATAAATGGACTCCCCTCCCCTTCCTGTTCCAGTGGGATCTCCACCTTGTACTATGAAGTCCTACTCAACAGTGGAGATGAATCTAAATAAGACTTAATCTCAAATAACGGAAGCCACGAACAGCGAAGAAAAGAAAAACACCTTGATGATTCTATGGAATTTAACGTTATCGTAATAGCCTCTGCGAGAGAGTTCAATGAAGTTTCTGCAGGTTCTGGGTGCATGCTTGTAGTACAGCTGAGCCCAAAATTAGATAATGACAACTGGTGAGTTTATGTGCTCTTATACCTTATCATATCTCTTTCATTTTCAACAAAAGAAAAAAAAAAGGAAGGAAGAAGCAATTTTCAGAATCCATGAGTGTTCTTCAGGATTTTAGAGCAAGTAAACTGAAACAAGATATGGGAGGGGGGAAAATAAAAAGGAAGTACCTCAACGGTGAAAGAACCCATGGAAGTCTCCAGAATGACCTCCGGAGCACCACCTTCTGCGCTCGCCCACATTTTGCAGAGACGAAGAAGCCTCCGGCGAGCTTGACGCCAACGCGAAATCGAAGGATTCACTTGCGGTTTACGCAGCAGGGGAGGCATCTTGTCTGTTTGAATTGGGCTGGGCCCATTATCTTGATGACCGGCTGCATGGGCTTTTGGGCTGGCTCTTTCTTCCCCCTTCGTTTAGATACGGGGATCATGATAGTAAGGTTACAAAACATAAATTAATGATGATAAATTTTTTAGTAAATTTTTAAAAAATAAATTAAAAATATAATTTAAATAAAAATAAATTGATAAAAATTATGTTCCTTCTTATTTATACACCTCGGGAATCAAAACATTTATTCTTTTTGAGTTTAAGTTGATTTTCTTTCAAGAAAAAATTACCCAATTATTTTAAGTTTGTTTATAGATGGTCCCAATACAACAAGGGGACACCCTCCCAACGTGACTCCCTTAAATATTGATATAACACGTATATATATATATATATATATATGTTCATTTATGATTTATTTTAAGTAAATTACCGTAGGCCTTGTGTCTGGTTGAATTTACAAGATAAGCAAGACTATATATGACTTCATGAGAAGTCAGATGTCTTATATATTTTGCAGGAAGGCACTTTACGTGTTTGGTTGCGAATGGTAAATTGATTGAAATATTTAATTAATTTATATTGAACTTTTTTATTTGTTTAATTCAATTTTAGATGGCCTGTAATAAACTTAATCAAATCAATCAATAACTTGTGCCACTTTTAACATTTACTTATTTAGTTTTGCACATCACTGCAACTTCCCTTCCAAAACCAATATATTAAGGCTCTCTTGAAATTTATTGCCTAAGGAAGGGATCATTTGAGCTAAAGATTTTTGGACAAAGGAAATATTAGAGAAGGGCATTGTGCCCGCTTCCTAAGGATGGTACCTGTTTAGAATAGCTCAATCCAACTAATTAATTTTTTTTAAAAATATATAAATAATTCACTAAATCAACCAAGATTTCATAAAAACAATGGCGAAATAGTGAATCCGGTTGCCTTCTTTCTAATAGGAATTTTGACAGTCAGTTACTTGCATTATTTTAACCTGTATTGTTGTAATAACTAAATCGGTTATTATTTGATTCACTTCACTCTAGAAAAGATAAGGGATGACTAGTGCGCCAAGTTCCAAAGAAAGCTATTTGCCTATTACACTTGCTCTTTTATAATGTTGCTCATTACATGCATGCCCATTGCACTTATGGTTTGGGTGCTTGGAAGTTTAAATAATCATTTTCCTTAACATGCATACAATAGGGCAACTTCTTCATCAGCCCAGTGATGCCAACCCGGAGTCTCGTGCTTGCAATATTGGATTAGGAAGGCTGCGTATGCGTGGTTTGGTTGACTGACTAATAAAAACTTAAAAGAGAGTTTGCTATGATCATATGCTCATGGCAGCAGCTTAATTTAACAAGTTTTTTCCCCATGAGTTCTTCACATGCATAGTCTAATACATAAAGTGTTAAGAAGAATTAACACCCACAACAACGTCCGCTATGTTTTTTATTCAGAACGTACGGAAATAATAGAAAGAAATGGGTTAAGTATACTTAGCTAGTAAAACTATTGTCTAACCAGCTGGGAATGATTTGGATTTGATCTCTACTTGCTTTGCGATCAAAAGTGACTCTAATGAATTGTGCATATATGGTGACTAACCATCGCCTTTAAATAAATTAAGAAAGAAAGAAAAGAAAAAATGACTGTGTAACGCGTACTGGTTTCTCAACAACTCCCCCCGGCTTCCATTAATAAACTGGTCCAAAAGCTGCCCTCATAGTCCCTCTATATAAGATCCAACCATTGTCACCCTTTTGCATCGCAGGCTTTGTTTCTCATATATCTCCTTCCAATTTATTTACTCATATTTTTCAAAGCAAAAAGAAAATGTCAACCACCGTCGATGTCCCAGAGTCGAGCAACGTCGAGAAAGGAAGACCAGTTGCAGCTGATGCAGCCGCGAGACCGGGAGGAAGCAATAAAGCGCTGGCCATAATAGACTTCATTCTCAGGTTAGGTGCCATAGCAGCTGCTCTCGGCGCCGCTGCCACCATGGGAACCGCCGAACAGACTCTCCCTTTCTTCACTCAGTTCTTCCAGTTTGAAGCCAGCTACGATAGTTTCCCAACTTTCGAGTATGTCATCCATCACTTTCTTTTCAATTTGCCTTTGACAAGAATTAATTTCACGGAATGAGATATGAATCCTGGTTTAATCCGATGCAGGTTTTTCCTTATTTCCATGTCATTGGTGGGTGGGTACCTAGTCCTGTCTCTACCTTTCTCTGTGGTCACCATTATACGCCCCCACGCAGTTGGAGCAAGGCTTCTCCTTCTGATCTTAGACGCCGTAAATCGCGCTAGTTAATTGAACTCAGTAGCTATGCGTACGTACAGTGATTGTTAATATTTTTCTTAAGTGTTGATTAATGAATTGTAGGTGTTTCTGACGCTGGCTGCTTCAAGTGCTTCTGCATCAGCCGGCATCGTGTACCTGGCACACAATGGCGATCAGGACACAAACTGGATTGCCGTCTGCAACCAATTTGGTGATTTTTGCATGGCCACTAGTTCAGCCGTGGTGTCGGCCTTCGTTGCTGTGACTGCCCTCCTCTTGATGGTTGTGATGTCTGGTGTGGCTCTCAGAAACCACTAGCAGAATTAATCAAGCAGACTATTGTCATGTTGTGCCCCATTCATCTCCTGTTTATGCATGAAGTTCTCAAGTTGTGTGCATTCGTGATGTTTCGCTCAAGTGTCCACTTCATGATTATTTACTTATCGGTCAGATGATGTAATATTCCTATCATCTATAGCTTCTTTCAATGTGCTTTTCACTTCTTTTAGGCATGCTTTCTTACCTCCCTCTCTATTCGGTATTACGACCTACGCTCTGATCTTAGCTTAAATCATGACAATCTATCCATGGGAGTGTTAGAAAGATTTTAGACAAGAATCCTGATGAATCGATGTCCGGTTAGGTTGGAACTTTCTCGTTTAATAATAATGGTCAGTCCTTAATTAAGGGATAAAGGTTAAAGAAATTAGATGGATGCAACAGTACAAAAGAGCATCACTTAGAAAATGACGCAAGCACCTCTTACGAGTTTATTCTTCAGGCATCCACTTAATTAATTACAAAAGCAGCCAAAATTATTTAAATACATTATTACCTGGATAAAGCATATCTAACTAGATCAAGACGACTTTCAAATATTAATGTTACGGCATTTTAACATTATAATAATAATAATTAGAATTAAGCAAGGTTTAACCAAACCGAACTTGCTAGTTTTACCGAAAATTAGTCAGGTAGCCAGCTAGACCGAAGCTCAACCAGAGCCAAGGGAAGTGAGAACTGGTGAGAACTAGCTGCATCGAAGCGGGAGAATCGGCTAGTGACCAGTTGCACTGATCACATTTTTTATTTTTAACAACCAAGATTAATGTTTTTTAATTATAATTCATGTGTCTATTCACCTTACAAGCATTGGGAAGTAGAGAAAATAAACAGATAGGCAAAAATGTAATGATATATTTTCGAATTATAAATTAATCACAAGTAACAAGTGTGGTTTATAAGTGTGATCAGAAGCTCTCTCTACCAATAAACTGATCTTTTGAGAAAAGCTCTCTATCTAAACTTATGCTCATAAATTAGAGTATGATATAAGAAATTAGTAAGTGCGTGTGTGTGTTTCATTGTTTTATGAAAATTTTGCATTGATATTGATTCATCGTTACCTGTACAAGATTGATCCAAAAACACATGTCCCCCATAAACCAGATCTCCATACTAACATCTAGAGAATAGAACATTGCAGTTGAATAAATTTAATGACGCAGTACATATACTAGCAGCAAATAAGAAACAGAGTTGGAAAGGAAAAACACGAATCCTAAAACTAATAACATTTCTAACTTCTAAGCAAACACTAGCGCGCGCGCGCGTAGTGCATAGTTGAATGATTCTATCATCCACGTATCCCAAGACCCAAGTGATCTTCTCTAAGATGTCATGCATATGTTTAGAACGTGACAATCAATATTTAATCACAATATATGTCACAAAGTCCACCTTGTTTTCTTCACCAGTTTCATGTATTCAAATACTCGAGAAAGAAGTTTTACATATTTGAGATTAAAGATTAATTTGTAAACAAAATGGTAGGACAGCAGTTTGTACGTTGTATACGTAGACAGTTTGATTCCTCTTTTTGCTCGTGAATACATAAACCAATTTGTTCCTGAGGTCTATTCAGGGAAAGGAGAACAGGGGAAAATTAAAGAGAATAAGTTGAGTATTTTTAATCACCTTTAACACGTGCTAACATGCGCTTCTTATGTCAATGAATCCCAAGTTTCACATCTTCAAATTTCTCAGTTCTATGCCACAAAGAAATGGTAATGCCAAAGATATAACACGAAGCCGTGGCATTGTGATTTCCCTTGACCTGATCGGATTGGCTTGGACCAGTTAATTCCTCTAGTTATAGTTTCACAAAGGATACCTGATGGTCTGATTAAAAAAAAAAAAGGAAAGAAACGAAGCCTTTGTAATTAATAAAAGTGAATTTCAAGGGAGGCTAAATTAGTTTATTATGAAAAGTTCACTAAAAAATAAACTTTATACGTAAATCCATTTTAAAATTCAAATGTTCAAAAATTATTTATATATAGAACAATATTATGTCAATTTGGACTTTCGTGCTGATATTATATAAAAACTCGGCATATATAATAAGACAGACAACTTGATAGTTAATGAGTTGTTTTTTAAACTCGTGCTAGGCTGAAAATTGTAACCAACTCACAGAATTTAAGAAATAGTTAATAATTCTAATAATTATGTCCGAAATTGAAATGTTTAAATTAAAGTGTCCTTGTAATTAATGTTTATTTTTTCTTTAATTTAATGATATTATCCATTTATGAGGAATAATTTAGGTAAAATGTAATTAATTAATGTTTCTTAAAATTTATAGTTTTGTATTTTTAATCATGATAAAAAAAACATATGGTAGTTTCTCCTGTAATAAAAAACAGAGAGAGTATTAGAATGGTGCATAAAACAGGGGAACTCCATGATTGAAGCAGTCATGAAAAACAGAGAGAGTAATATTAGGGCTTGAAAATAGCCACGATCACCATTCGCAACAAGGACAGGGTTGGGAGAAATCTTTAAATGGATCTAATATATCATATTATTTATGATCTATTTAATAAAATTATACCAATACAATTAAATAAAATTTCATAAGCAATTATTTTTAATGATTTTATTTTTATGATAAAATGTCCATTTAATTTATTGTCTTTTTTTCTGATCATTAATCGATATTAAAATTAATTTATATTTAATACCATATCTCTACAAATTTCTCACGGAGTTGGTATTTAATATTTACCAGCGTTTTAGTTGATTAAAATATTTCAACATGCCACGAGAAAGCATTGACTCAATAAAAAAAAAAAGAAACAATATTTAAATAAAGAATATCGCTCTCTTTATTTTTTAAATTATAAAATATTTTTTAAAAAAATTAACTATTGAATAAAAAATAGGACCAGATCGGACGATCAAACTAATCCAGCTGTCCACCGGCCCAAATTTTGGTTCGGTTAGCATGTAAAAACTATTTGAGAGTCAAGCTGGGTTGGGCTATTTTAGACTGATAGTCGAACCAAAAACTGAAATCAAACCAAGAATCATATTCAATTTTCAAAAATCAAGCTGTTAAAAAATTTTTTATATTTTTTCTCAATTTTTTTAGGAAATGACCACTTTTTTTAATCAGTTAATGTTATGTTGTATCATGTGGCTTGTTAAGTCATAATAAACATGAAATATTTGGTTTTCTTTTTAAATTAAGTAGCAATTTCATATTTATTTTTTATATTTAAATTATTATAAGCATATATAATTTTTTTAATTTAATTATCACGTTACCAGTTTGATCATTGGTTGAACTATGCAAACCATACACTACAAACCTTTTCAATTCAGCATCCAATCGATTTTAAAAATATTGGATTTAATGTTTTAAAATATAAAACATTTTAAAAAGATTAAAGTTTTATTAAATAGACTTAAGTTAACATTACTCTCCTTCTCTATTTAATTTGCGTCCTTCTATTATCAATATATTAAAAATGTTATTTTTATAAGTTTATATTTTTATTTTAAAAAAATAAAATTAAGTGTATTTAATGAAATTTATTAATATATAAAATTTTATTTAAAAACATATTATAATTTAGGCTAAATTATACATTTAATTACTTAACTTTACACAATATTTTATTTTAATCCTTTAATTTTATAAAGTGTCCTTATCTTAACAATTTTTATATTAAACTTTTAAATATTGATAAAACATTCTCAAATATTGATATATTAAGTTTAATTTTTTTAAAATAATAATAATTGATATAAAAATAATTATTTAAAATTAACAATATTAGGTTTAAAGGACTAAAATAATATTTTATAAAATTTAAAAACTAAATTAAAACATTATATAAAGTTAAAAAATTAAAAATATACTTTAACTTAAAATGAAAGGGCAGTGAGATACAGTAAATTGAAAAAGAAAACTTTTGTCCAACAAAAATTGAAAAAGAAAACTGTCCGAAATATAGTTGATTAAGTAGAAGTAAGTACATAATTAATACAATTGTGTTTGACTTTGAAAAATATTTCCATCATAAGAGCTCTCTACTTGCTATGCCAAAAACGGGGTGACTTCATGGTCATAGTGGAAACGGTTTGACAACTCCTCTCTCAGCCTCCAACTAAATATATCCCCTTGCAGGACTTGCCTGCAGACGATGCTCTCTCTATATAAGATCCAGCCACGAAGCCATGTTCATCCCAAGCATCAATCTCTATACATACTGTTGTAGGAGATCACCTTCGTTCTATCTGCTCTCGTAGTTCAAATTAAGCCAAGAAAATGTCGACCACCATCGAAATCTCAGAGAAAAGCCACGTGGCAGGCAAAGCAAAGGCAGCCATGTCTGTAGCCCCACGTGAGGGAGCAGGATGGAAGAAAGGGATAGCCATAATGGACTTCATTCTGAGGTTGGGCGCCATAGCTTCTGCTCTGGGTGCCGCGGCCGCCATGGCAACTGCTGATCAGACACTTCCTTTCTTCACTCAGTTCTTCCAGTTTGAAGCCGGCTACGACGACTTCCCTACTTTCCAGTACAAGATCATCATCCCCAGATTGATCCATGCTTTCCTTTTTGGTATTTCACACTACTTGATTAATCCAATGCTGCTATAATGATATATACATGCAGGTTTTTCGTCATTGCAATGGCAATCGCGGGAGGCTACCTAGTTCTCTCTCTACCTTTCTCCATAGTGACCATCATTCGTCCCCATGCTGTGGGAGCAAGGCTTCTTCTTATCATCCTTGACACCGTAATTAATCTCTGTCTCTTTCTAATCAATATTCAAGATTTACTTGTGATATATATCCAGCCATGTAGGGATGATACGTGGATATTATGAATTGCGAGTTATATGCAGGTGTTTCTGACGCTGTCAGCTGCTAGCGGGGCTGCATCAGCTGCCATAGTATACTTAGCACACAATGGGAATGAGGACTCCAATTGGCTTGCCATATGCAACCAGTTCACTGATTTTTGCCAGGCGACCAGTGGAGCGGTTGTGGCGTCGTTCGTTGCCGTGGTTTTCTTTGTGGTCTTGGTTATCATGTCTGCTCTGGCCCTCCAAAAACACTAGCTATGGCCATGAGATTATATATGGCTCGGGGCTTGAGTTGTAGAGTAGTATATATATTTGTGTCAGGTTTCTGTGAGTCTCTGGTCAATCTGTGGATCAAATTGGTCGATGTCCAAATTAAATATTACGTCGTTTTCCGAAGGGTCGATGTTTGGCGACCTTGATTTTCGAGTCTCTGCCTGTTTCTCTCTCACTCTCTTCATATTACTTCGACGCATGCACTATTTCGTATCGGCAAAGTTAAACACGTTCTTGTTTCGGCCCCCAAAAACAACAGGATGACACCTTTCGAATCCATACTATTAAAATTTAAAACGCAACACTTGCTATGCCGTTCACATATCGATGAAACTCAGAGAGGCCATTTGGTTTGTCCCAAAAAAAAAAAGGCAGGGTGAAATATTTAGTCAGGAATTACAAATCAATGTCCCTTCATCTGTGTATGCGGCCAAATTATTTCCCACCTGTACTTTAATTATGGACATGGTAACGCATAGCTATTACTAAATTTACAAAGAAAATTTAAATCAGACTAGACTATTTTACCTACACCGTGATTTCGGAAAAGGGGAGAACTTTGTACATTTGTGGTTCTTATTAATTAAATCAAAACGTGAATTTTTATCAATTATTATTCCATAACAAATTTTTATTATTAATATTATTACCACATTAAAATTCACTTGTTTCCAATTTAGGATTGAGTAAAGTATACTTTTAATTCTCTAATTTTATATAAAATTTTAATTTAATTTTTTAATTTTATAAAGTTTCTTTTTAGTCTTTCAATTAACCTTAATACCTTTAGTTTTAAATAATTTTTTTTCATGTCAATTATTGATATTTTGACAAAAATTAAACTTAATATATTAACATTTAAAAATATTTTGTTAATATTTAAAAACTCAGTGTAAAAATTTCTTAGAATAAAAGTAATGTGTTAATGTTAAGGAATTAAAATAAAACACTACATAAAGTTAAAGGATTAAATGTATATTTTAACCTTTAAAATTTTATTAATATTCTAAAATTAATTGGAACTTATAATTAACAAATCCCCTAGAACTTAGTTGACATTCTTCTAAATTAAAATTTAATAGTCAATATAGTCAAACATTGACAGCAAGACAACATTGTATCAAACTAAAAAATATCAGGAAAATATTACCAAAAAAACTTAAAAATGTGAGGCATGCCTACATGAAAATTTTGAAAGTAGATTTATATTTAGCTGGCAAAAAAATATATATCAAAATTTCATAATCCTTTCTTGGTGATGTAAATAAAATTATATATACATATATTGGTTATAGCAAAGATATACTCTCCTAATCCTTACTCTTTGCTCATTTACAAGACACTTTTAATCATTTTAAAAGAGTTATAAAAGTAATTTGTATTTGTATTGTATTATTGAAATGATAAAAATTATTATTATTATTATTATATTATTTAAAATTATCTTTCCCCCTTGTTAATATAAGATAAAATACAAATCCCTTTTCTTTGTAATCTGCGTCCGACGCAATTATTTTTTATAGATTAAATTAATTAAAAAATTAACTTTTAATAACATAACTTAAAATTAAAATTATATTTTATGTTTTAGCCTTTTAAGCTTTAAATTGTTCATTTTTTATTTAAAAGTGTAAGATAGTATTTTAGGAATTGAATATTAAAACTATAATGCCTTTTTAGTATTTTAAAATGTAATCAATGTGTTTTTTTAAAAGTGCTCATAATAAATAAATAATTTTATATTCATTTTAAAAAATGCCTATTAAATAAGAATAAATATAAAAAAGATAGTATTAACTTAAAGGCAATTGACTACTTATTAAGGGATGAGATTTGGTTAGAAATACTTTACAATTTTTAAAATAAAATGTTAGTCATATTTTTCATATGTTTTAAAATAAATTGTGTGAAAATAGAATAAATTATTATTTATATTCTAATAATTAAAAAAAAACTTCTTTTATTGTACTAGGAATAAAAATATACAGCTAAAATAACTGATAAAGAAATTAAAAATTATAGCTAATAAACATATTTAAAAAATTAATAAAATTTTACTTCCACTGTTCACTCTTTTCTCTTTTATTTCTCTTAAACAATATAAATTAATATAAATAATTTGAATTAATGACCATAAAATGGTCGATCACCTTAGACTTTGGGCACCCACTTTTTTAGCTTTTAGAAATAATGATCGTGCCGGTCTTCACTTCTACATTTTGGGTTCTCAGCAGTTGCGTTTTAGATCAGTAGGGGGAGACCGAAAATATGTAAGCGAGAGCGACTCCATTTGCTATTAAGACTGTTGGGTTTCTTTCTTCTCCTCAGTCCAAGTCTCCGCTTCGTCTTCCTTCACTTCTACTGCTTTCGTTGCTGAATCACCTTTAGCAGTGGCAAGGTTTAGGGTTTTCATCGTCGAACGAAAATGTCTCAAACCAAGAAATTGACGCCGAATCTTGATCAGCAGAGCACGAAGATGCTCAATCTCACTGTTCTCCAGAGGAGAGATCCATGCATCGAAGAGATTTTGTTTACTGCCTCTCATGTTTCCTTCTACTCCTTCAACATTGAAAGCAATCAATGGGTTCGTTCTTCATTTTAATTCAGCTTTTCCCTTTGGCGCCATGGAAATTCTTATTATTTTAGTTCACTGTCTCACTCTTCCACCGTTTAGTTTGGCTCGTGTAACACACGCATAAAACTTGTTCTAGTTTTTTTTTTTAAATGGTAAAAATTGTTCAACCTGCGCGATTAGAGGTTTTTCAGTATTCCAAATTCTTCATTTTGTTTCTGCCCTCTCTCGTTTTTCCTCCGGGATCCAATAGTATTTTGAAGCCTTCACATCAAACTTTTATCTAATGTTTGAAATTGTGGATGGTTATAGAGTCGTAAGGATGTTGAAGGATCTCTCTTTGTCGTGAAGAGGTGATAAACACTGTCTCTTACCTGTCTTTATTTATTTTGTGAATGCTGTCGATTGAATTCACGTAGGCGTGGATCATCTTGGTTTTTGCTATCTTTTGTTCAGGAACGCAGAACCTCAGTTTCAATTCATAGTGATGAACCGCCGCAATGCAGGTTCACTATTTTATTTGATTATATCTGTATTAAAGCTAATTTTATTTATAGTGATTTTGGGCTTGATATGTTTATTTATTAGGACAACTAGTCTCATTTATTACTGATGTTCGTGGTATCATCACATTTGTTTCTTAATTTCATTAAGCTTACGTGTTTTATTTTCTAATTGCTGAGTAGTGTGGGAGCAGTTATTATTAACGTGGAACTGGAGAGTTGTAGCATTAAGCTTAGTCACGCTTTCTAGTAATTAATTTCCAGAAGCCTTTGACAAAGACATTTTTTGCAGTGAACATGGCGAAATTTAATTTCTCTATATCCTTGCTTCTCTCCCCCCCCCCTCTCCCTCTCCCTTTCTCTCTTTTTTTTTGCTGCCTCTTGTTACATAGGAGCTATCAAATTAGACTTATCCTTGATAGTGGTTGATTGGAAGATGAATTATTTTTAGTGACCAGTACCTGCCATGAAATTGAGTGAGCAGTTTCTTCCTTTCACCATAAGATTGTTTTGTGTAGAGAGAGAGAGAGAGAGAGAGAGTACTTGCTTGCAAAGCACAAGCCATCTTGTATGCAGGGCAATCATCAAACCTTTTACCCAACCTCAGGCCAAGCTCCTGTAGCGTGTGAATGATATCCCAAATACAATACATATTGTATATGCAAATTAAATTATAATTGAAGCACTTTGTGACGTTTTCATTAACTATGTAATTGTATGAAAAAGTTAAAAGATGTATTGTAATTATTCAATGATTCACATCTATTCTAATTATCTCTGGCTAATGTATAGATCTTGTGTGATGCATGGAGTTTGAAAAATGAGTGGCTTATGTGACAGTTTTTATATTACGTATAGATTTTAGAGATGTAATGAATAAGCCGTGCACTGACATATTGATCCAAGCATCCAAAATTATGAAGATGGACTTGTTCATTTAATATTTAAAGCACATTTGCTTTATACACAAGCTTGTTCTTTTTACAAGCCAAATCCAAGTAGTTCAAAAATAGTTTGATTTGTTTTTGATCCTACTTACAGGCATCATCGTCCTATGCTAATTAACATCATCACCAGTGATTGTTTATTTCCTCCTTTTGGGTACCTGGCATCAAATGACTGTCATTAACCATGAATCACCTTGCATTGTTGACATGGGAACACTATAACCTTCTACTTCTATTCGCTGTGCAATTCTGTCAAGCATGATGAAAATATTCCATTTGATTGTTCTGCAACTTATATGTGTTATTTTCATTTTAAATGCCAGATAATGACAAGGACACACATTGACTTGTTTAAAAATATACCCTTGAGAAATAATTTCTGGTACCAATTCTGAATACCAACCTGCCATATTGGATTCTAGATTGGAATAAGCTTTTATGGTTACTTTTGTTTGAAGTTTATAGTTGCTGTATATTATGCCCCTTTTAGCTATTTTACCATTGTCTCATCAACAATTTTCTTACTTATTAATTGTGGAGAAGTAGAGGCTACTCTGATCTGCATACATTTAATCTTATATCTTTTTAATCTGTTTCTACTGAATCACTTTTTCTATCTAAATTTTGTTCTGACAGATAACCTAGTGGAAAATCTATTGGATTTTGAGTATGAACTGAAAAAGCCATACTTATTATATAGGAATGCTGCCCAAGAAGTTAATGGTATATGGTTTTACAATTCAGATGAAAGTGAAGAAGTTGCGAATCTCTTTAATGGGTAACATATTGTTCTCAGTCAAATCTTTGATGTTGTTTTTTCCTTGCATATTCTGCTCAAACTTTTAGTTAATAATAGATGCTCATGGACTAATTCATCATATCCAACTTGGACAGCCAACTTGCTTTTCTTTTCTTATTAATGTACCATAGTTGCAGTATGCTTAATGGTTTATACAATTGTTTAACATTAACAGGATACTTGATGCATACTCAAAGGCAGCTCCAAAGACAAAATTGCCTTATAGCAAAAGGTAAGTATTTTTGAAAGGTTTATGAAATCCAATGAAGTCTTTAATCTATTACTGTATAAGAGAAATTCAAATATATGGAGGAGAATGAGAAACTATTTAGCCTCCTATACTTTTTGTTATTTTAAAATTATTTTTGTTTACAATTATTTTTAAAAATATTAAAAAATCAAGATATTCCTTAGTGCATGTCAAGCGTATTTGCACACCATGTATGTCCCCTTCATCTTTGAACCAAAAATAGTGAATGAACATTTGAAATTCAAATTCATTATATTTTAGGTGAAATTATTCTGTTGTTCTCTATCCATGTGTGGTTTAACTAAGTTTTACATTGGCTATTGAGAGTTTAACATAATCTTCCTCCTTTACCCAAACATGAGATCAGCTATAAACATAGGCGGAGTTCCTATTTACAAAAATAAAGGGGATATTTAAAATTGTGCTAGCTATAGAAATATTAAACTTATGAGTCATATAATGAAACTGTGGGAAATAGTGATTGAGCATGGATTGAGATTGGAGACTGGTATTTTTGAAAATCAGTTTGGCTTCATGTTAGGTAGGGCGATTACACAAGCAATTTATCCACTAAGAGGATTAATGGAAAAGTATCAATACAAAGGAAAGATTTAAATATGGTTTGTATTGATTTGAAAAAATCTTATGACCATATACTGAGAGAAGTACTCTGGAAAGCCTTGAAAAGAAGGGACCAAGGGAAGTACTTTGAAAAACCTTGGAAAAGAAAGGAGTTCAGGTTGGCCTATATTAAAGCAATACAGGATATGTATGAGAGGGCAGCAATTAGTATAAGAATGTCTGGCGATGAAACAAATGACTTTCCTATAAGGATTGGATTATATTAAGGATCATCTTTGAATCCTTATTTATTTGACTTGGTCCTAGATGTTTTGACTAAGCATATTCAAGAGAAAATTCCTAAATAGATGCTTTTTGGAATTGATATAGTTCTTATTATGGATATGAGAAAAGAGATTAATTGCAAATTTGAATTATGGAGGAAGTCCTTGGAGTCAAAAGGTTTTTGCCTGAGTGGGAGTAAGACAGAATATTTGCACTGTAATTTTGATAAATGGTAAGTCAGTAGTAATTTAGAAGTAAAATTGAGAGATTAAATTATACTTCAAATGAAATAATGTAGATATTTGGGAGCTATTATGTAACGTGATAAGGAAATTGATGGAGATATTGCACCTAGGATATAAGTTGTGTGGTTTAATTGTTGAAAGATTAAAGGAGTTATTTGTGATTGTAAAATGCCTAATAAACTTGAAGAAAAGTTTTATTAAATTGCTATGTTATATGGTAGTGAATTTTGTGCTTTAATAGAACAGCAAGAGGTTAGAGTTAGAGTAGCAGAGATGAGAATGTTGAAATGGATGTACTAGCATACATGTAAAGATAAAATTTGAAATGAGCACATATGAAAAAAGGTGGGTGCAGCATCTATTGAGAGAAAAATTGTAGAAAATCATTTGAGATGGTTTGAACATGTACAAAGAAGATTGCAAGAGGCAGCAGTGAGGAGAGTGAAATGAATAATTTTGAGTCCTGTTAAGAGGGGTAGAAGAAAACCAAAGAGCACACTTATAAAAGTTGTTAATCAATATATCTTAATTAACAACATTCTTAAAAACTTGATAAATGATAGAGTACAATGGTGTCATACAATTCATGTAGCCGACCTCACCTGATGAGATAAGACTTGTTGTTGTTGTAGTATTATTCTATTGTCCCCTAAAGTTTCACTCAGTTTTCTAGTTGGTTCTAAACTTCTTATTGCTGAAAAGTTTGTAACTAAATCCTTGTAGTCTTGAGAGAAATTTCATACTGTAAAGACTACCAGTAATTTAGCCAATGTTTTACCGCATTAAATTTTAAACTGTTTGCATTCACAAGTAATGACAGCGGTATCATGTGCGGCTAACGCATCATGTTTTGGTACATGGCGTAGTGAATTTGAGGAGCTTGAACCAGTAGCTATTGTAACAGAAAAGAATCTGAAGAAGTCTTCAGCCACCCCTTCTGCAATTGGTTCATTTGAAGATGCTGCCTTTGTAGACTGTCTCAATGTATGTAATCTAGTTGCACATACAGCATACTAATTTTCTCTGCCCTTGGATGGATTCTTCTTCAATGATGATTTTAAGTGTTCTTTCCTTTCATAAACCTTATAGACCACCTGGTATGATTTTATTGTAGTACCTTGGATGTTGACTTTCTTTTTGGCGTACCAAACAATTGTGTCTAAGAAAGATTTGCTCTTGCAACAGAACAACTAGATATTTGAAGTGCAATACTGTGATACTTAAACCCTGAAAAAGGAAGTACAATTTGTGATAGAATATCAGTCCTCATTCAGACATATAAGGTTTATTTGTATTTCATAAACATAATCCATTCCATGATATTGTGATAACGATTCAACTAATGAGTTATTCTGTGATTGACATTCTTCATTGCATTCACCAGCCAAGTGTTCGTTTGAAGCACACTGTATGTGATGGAGAGGGGAAGACTTATCCTAGGAGTGGAAAATTTTACAATTTTATTTTATTTTTAACAATTATCTTTATTTTTACATGTTAGGATTTTTTTACTTATTTTGTATTAGGATTTAGATTATCATATTTAGGTTAGTTCACATTATTATTGTTTTAATTAATTGTAGTTAGGACTTCATGAATAGCCCTAGGTTTCCTCACTTTGAATAAAGTTGAAAATTTTGCCTTCACTATCTCCTTCAAATTCTTCCTTTTCCACCCTCCTTTGTCTCTATTTCTCCCTCACCCTTCTCTTGTTTTGCATGGGCATGTCTTTGGTGTCTTTCATTATTTTATATAGTGGTGAAGTAGACATTATCCTTTGCGATGATTAAATATCTGAGATTCTTTGCTTCAGGAAAATTTAGTGCGTATGTCTAGAAAATGATTTGAAAGTTTTATCAGTTTACAATTGCACTCTGGAAGATGGTACCTTGTATTAAAGCTGGAGAAACCGGGGGAAAAGGTTGTTCAAATGTAATGCTATTCTACTCTACCTGGAAATTTTTAAATTACTGCAGCTAGCATGGGCTTGAGGAAAGTGGTAATGTATTTGTTACATAGTTTTTGACCATATATTTCCTATTGATGCAATATCAGTTGTGAGTAATATATAAACTTTTGATATGGATTAATTTGGTAATTGGTGATTAAATAATTACTTGGATACAGATTTTCTTGCACTGTCATCTGCTTGCATCTGGAAGTTCTAGAGCATGTAAAACTATTATGCCAGCTCTATGCGCTCATGTTATATAGTTTAACTGGGTCCAGTGTTTTTGGCCTCAGAAACCAATGGATTTAATTTTTGCAGACAGATAAGGTCGCTGGTAACTACCCTTCAAATGTGGATAGTTTAAGACAGCCTTACCATTCTGGAATTGTTGCTTCTGTTGCTCCCAGTGGTGTGTTTTCTGCTTCCCCCATTATGAATGTACCATCCGGTTCTCATTCAGCTTCATTGCTACCAGCCTTCCTACGCAACTCTTCTGATACAAGCAACAGGGGTAGTCAGAACGCTAGTCTTTTGAAGCCTTCTACACTTGTTGCACCCACCCTCTCTCCATCTGCACCTTCTGCAGCTTTTCTTAATTTCCTGAATCAACCACAGCCACGCCAACATGGCACACCGTTGCTTCAACCATTTCCACCACCAAGTCCACCTCCATCTCTGAACCCAACTTGTACCTCCGCTTCCAACAAGCCTATCATCAGAAGAGAGAGAGTGCGTGATGCACTTTCATCACTTGTTCAGGTAATTTTGTGATTTTATCATCTTTGTTTTAATTTGCTAAATTTCTCATTTTTTTTCATTAGATATTTCAATAACTTAACTGATTTTTCTGTTGAATGGTAACAAAAGAAACCATAAGAGGACAAGCTGATTTTGTCAAGCTTGAGGGGATAAATTTTAATTTACCCTTTTAAGATTAGTTTTTGATACAGAATTTCATTGGCAAAACAATTTAAACGAATGGAAATTCCAAAATTCAATTATATGTTTTTATGTTGGTTTAACAGAAAAATAATGAAATGAATGTATGTGCCTTGTTTTGGTCCAGTTGGAGGCTTACTATCATTTTATTTTCAGCCGCTGCCATAAGATTTATTACGTAGGTTCCCTTCTAACGGAATTTCCTTTGCCAGGATGATCAATTCATTGACTTGGTGTTTCAGACATTGCTAAAGCCGCACCATTGACGATTAGTTTCAAGTTGTAGTTGCATGTGAACCTGGTTCTGTATATAGTAGTTATACTCTTTAGGCAGGAACACATCTCTTGGTTGTTTCTCCATACAGGTTTCCGTCTATCCTAAGCTTTGATCACTACCAATGCAGACCCGTAATGGGTGGATGGTGTCAATAATTGTTTTGATTTGCGTCAGTTTTGCCTTGGTATGTTTTAGTTTTTCGTATTTTTGGTACAGACGCAAGAGTTCAATTGATTGAGTGTTCCCCCCGGTCCTCTGCCATTTTGACTGAGTCTATCTTTATACAGCCCAGCCTCTTAGCAAATAAATCTCTCTATAAATCATCTGCTGATTATTACATTGATATGTAAATGATCTCTTCTGCAGAAGAGTAAGCTAGTTTTTATTTGCATGGAAATCATGATACATGCAAATATCAGAGCATTATATAATATGCTTTTGTTTTTGGAGTGTCACGCTTGGCTTTGTCCATGCAGCTCAACTACCTGTCTTGAAGAATGGCTTAAGATTTTCTTTGGGGATGGGCGCAATGATGGCAAGGATTAGTTGGTAAAAAAATTGAATGGATTGCCAAAAGAACTATTAAAATAAAATATAAAGTTGTAAGAAAATTATTCATAAAATATAAACAATGTGGCTTTAATCTATTGTATCGTTTAGTTTTCTTAAGAAAAGATGTTTAAAATTATATTTTATTCTTTATATTGCACGGGTGAAATATATTTAGTTGAATAATATTTAATTGCATAAATGTTTTTCATTGTCGCAAAGGGAAGTGGCAAGCCTAGTTTGCAAGTATGCGAACACAGATTGCAATTCAGTAGCAGGCATATATTCTCTCTATTTAATATTATAAGATATTTTTAATTAAATTATATCATTTAATTAATTAATTAATTGTCTTTAAAATTATACATTATTTTCATATTTATGTTTATTTAATTTTATTTTATAGGAAATCATAATTAAAAATTCCTTATTAATTATTTCCTAATTAAGAATATTTTTGCAAAAATTTCATCAATTTTATTTTGGACTATTTAAAATATTTTATATTTTAAAACATTTTATCTAAAAAATATTTTATATTTGTAATGGAAGGAATAATAAATAGACAGAAAAAATTGAATTTATACAATATAGATTTTCTGTTTTATTCTTTTGTTAGGATATAAAGATTTTCACTTCAATAGTGATGAAGCAAACGGAGCCCAGCCCGCACCTCGCTGGGCTTGCAGGTGTCAACGAAGCCCGAGTAAAAATTTATTCTTGGATCGCTTCTGAATCCTCTTTTCCACTTTCCCGTTTCCAGTCTCCACACCCTGCCTACGAGCAGTCGAGCACTGCCGTTTCCTTGCGACTTGCGATGGCAGCAATCACAAGATTCCTTGGCACCAGTTCTGCTTTGCGTCGATTGTCACTTGTTTCTCCTGCTCTCCTCAGTTTTCGCAGAGGAATTGCTTACAAACTGTTTGTTGGAGGTTTGCTCTTTCTCTCCTCTCTGTATCTCGCCTCCTCCATTCTCTTCGGTGAGGATACCGGTATCTGTTTTCTTTGCTGCTGCTAATTTCTTTCCTATCTTTCAATCGTCCAATTATAAACCCTCTACAGTTATTCACTGACAAATGAAAGGCTGATTGTCATCGTCATCTATCCGGATCAATCATTTGTGTTTATTGATAATACACAGACATTTTCCGTTCGATATGAATTTTAGTGGGGTTGTTTCAGAGTGCTTATTCGATATTTTATGTGTTTCCCGTCAACACGAACTAGTTGAGATTACTTTACCAATGTCGCATGTATTTCTCTCTGTCTGAGTTAAATTAAGCTAAAATAAAATGAGCAGGTAACAAGAAAAAATAAAAAGGTTATTTCTGTTTCGACTTTCTTTCTTTTATGCCTAGTTTTTGTATTTTTTGAAGGATAAATCATGGAAATATGGAATCTTGAAATGGCTGTAGGGGTAGCGCGTTAGTTTTATGTTTTACATAGATTATCGAAGCTTCCATTTATAATTGTTTGAGAATGAGCTTGTGGCTTTAGGTAGAAAAAATCTGTGTCTTTAAACTGAGGTGAAATTGATTTCAAATTCAATCGAGTTAATGTGTCCTAGGCTACCGGAAAATGTTACTCATCTTCTCCCTGGTTCACTTGGTTCCTTTTTGGCCTTGTAGCATTGTTAACCTCATGGATTAACCAACTTTAGGGGCTACATTTAATTGCCTCTTGGGAGGACCATATGGTTGAAATCCTGTTAACTCTGAGATCGTTGTCTTCTGCTGATGACAACCGTTGCCTTTGATTACTATGTTGGCTTCTAAGTTGAATGCAGAATATTCTATTAACCTTGTGAAAGGTTATTTGATGTCGGAGCTTCGTCTTCACTGTATGCAGGACTGTCGTTTCTCACAACAGAGAAGGGATTGTCAGAAGCATTTTCTGACTTCGGGCAAGTTGTTGAAGGTAGCTTCAAGCTGATTATTGCGCTTACATTTAGCTATCCTCTGTGTCAGCCTTTTATGATTTGCTGGCCTTTGACAATTTTACTTTCCCAGCAAAAATTGTGATGGACAGGGTATCAGACAGATCGAAAGGGTTTGGGTTTGTCACCTTTGCCTCAGAGGATGAGGCTGAGAATGCCATAACAGGGATGAACGGGAAGGTAATGACAATATGTGTATCTATTTATGCTTTGTTAATATCAGGTTATAACTTAGACGCGAGAACTGCTGGATGTCTATCTTAGCAGGCACTAAACGGTCGTGTTATCTTTGTGGATTATGCAAAACCCAAACGCAATATTGGTGATGGAATGCCAATTGCCAGGGGACCTCCTGAACCAACAGCACACAGTTAACTTGTTTATGTGAATATGAATGTCCTGGAAGCTCGAGTACTTTACTGATCAAATATTGCGAACTCAGCGGATAGGAAAACTGAGATTTGAAATCTCTTGAAGCACACAACTGTCGGAAGCACTGTTCTTGCTCATCTCACTCAGGCCCACAAAATTATTGTAGGAGGACTTTGTTTTAGAATACTGGTTTTAAACTTGTAGGTTAGGGTGTTGCCAAAAAAAAAACAAAAAAAAAACCCTTGTCGGTTAGGGTTTTATAGCAATAGCCAAAAGTGCAAGAAAGGCCTCTATGTTTCTGGACGTGTTTCCAAATGTTTGCTAGTATAAGTAGATTGCGGAACAAGTACCGCATAAAGCCTTGAATGGCAAGTTGGTTGTTTATGACATGGAGACAGTGCGGCGGCTTTCTATAAATGTATTGGAGATGTAGATGTTATAATTGTTTTGCTGATGAAATATTCACCTTATAACATAGAAATTTGCACAAGCTGGCAACAAAAATAAGTGAAGTATATAAATATACGGCTTGAGTTGTTAGCAAAATTATTAGCATTTAGAATTTATGCGTTATTTTAGAGTGAAGAGAAATGCACTTTTTAAAAAAGATATTAGCATGTAATTGTAGAAATTTTACATGTTATTTTTAATTATTATGGATTTTTTTTTTTATAATTTAGGATAGCGATTAAGATTATAAAATGATTTTTAGATAGTTTATAAATTTTATAAAAAGAGCTTTATTTTATAAAGTTTTTATAAAAAGCAAACATTATTTTATATTTGTTACAATAATAAAAATTTAATTATTAATTAGTTATTTTTAAATTTTATATTATCTTCCTTGATTTCTATTTTATAAATATAATTTATTATTTAATTATTTTACTGTTTTGTGATATGTTCGTGTATCTTAAATTTTTAACACATTCTTTTTCATTTATTGCATTAAATTATTTTTAAAAGATGTTTTAAATAGTTTCTTGAAATAATCAAAAATTTACTTTAAAAAAATAATTATTTTAAAAAATTTAAACAAATATCATAAAAATTCATAAAATAATTTTTTTCATAAAATAAACAAAAACAAAAATACCCTTAATATGTCTACCAAAATTATATTGTAGTTGTAATTTAATTAGATTATATGTAATTCATCATTAATTGGACTTTTTTGTTTCGTGCAACCTTAATCAGACTTTAAAATAGAGATGTAAATGAAGTCCATCCAGGCAAGAATTATTTGCATCAACCATAATTATCTGATTAAATTTGTTGAGGATTGGGGGGAAAGATTCTATATTTTTTTTAATTTTTTTTCGGCTAAAGAGTTTAGAGCATTATGCTGTATGAATTTTACATTCTTCAGAACTAGTATGTGGCCAGTGCAATATATTAGGTGTGGTTGATATAAAATATAAATGGTAGTTTAAATAAATAATGACGTCTATGATATAGATAAGATCAATTAAATTTAAGGAAACCTTCAAATTAAGTTTGAAAATGATGCCAAAAATTAATCTGATAGAAAAAAAAAACTACAAAAAGAATCTAATCTTTTCAGTAGATCAAAATAATACTTCACAAATGTATGGTGAAATCTCATTTGACTACTCCTAAAGTTCTATACAGCCCAACAACCATTGAATTTGTTTGCTATCCATTGTGTAATTGCAGCATTTCTCCACCTAGTCCTAGCACTCATTTATCCAGATGATTCTTCCAAGAATATGAATGCAGGTTTATAAATTAAATATTACTGTATTCACAATGTATAAGAACAAACATGCATGCTTGTATTGAAAATAAGATGAACATGAAATTGACAATATATCTATGTTATATCTAGAAAAAAAAATAAGATGAACAAAAAATCAAAACATTAGTTTCTGTCGTGACAAATTACTATCATCAATGGGCACCTCAAAAACACAACAGTCCTTCATTGTTAACAAAGAAAATTCAATTGTATCACCAAAACCCATAACCTAAAAATTCAAAAGGGGCCTGACATGGATAAGACTAAATGGTGTCATCTCACACACACACACACACACATATATATATATAAAAACTTTTAGAGAAGACATAGAATCATATACTAACTTGTAACTATAATTATAATTAAGCTACATGGAATAGAGACGCCAAATCATGACATCCATCTACCCTCTTGTTTGTAATTTTCAATAAAACATTTATCTGTGCCAAACAATTTACCAAGATCAATCCATATGCATGAAGATGTGAAAAATTGGAATGAATAAGATGGTTGATCAACGAGAAGAACAAACCTGCAACAATCCGACGATGACGCAATGCTGGAAAGGGAAATGGAAGAAGCCCAGCTTTGTAGTTAGTGGCTATTGGACTATGAAGTCGCTTTACTACAACAGGAAACAACTTGATGGAGCCACAGTGCTAGTGTAGCCCAACTTCAATGAAGAAATTATTAAAAACTCATTTGAGACACAAATCTCTATTGAAGAAGAGCAATGAGGCGATAGGTCTATGATTGGTTCGATATGGACGCGAAAGAAATTGAGAGTTTGAATTTAAAAAGAAAAAAAGAAAAACACAATTGACCGACGTTTTAGAGTCGAGACTCAATGGAGTGTTCCATGACAGTTACTTAAAGCAACACAAGGTGGAGAAGTTACAAAAAAATTGTTTATGAGAGGAAAGTCATGGTGTTGGAAATCTTTTAAGATTTTTAAATTTGAAATTCAAAATTATGAATTAGTTGAGAAATGATAATGATTAGATCATGGGATAGAATATTTAGGGATAAGGGGGAGTTATTTCTAACAATTTTAAAATAATGATATTATTGTTTTTAAAATAGAGTACAGTTGCATCTTACAATCCATGTAGCCAACCCCACTTAATGGGATAAAGGCTTGTTGTTGTTTGTTTTTAAGAAAGTACTAACGTGAACAGCCTAAAATTGCAGCATTCCTGAAGTTGCATTCATGTCAAGCCGCAAACGCTATTTGTGATTCTACTTTTATGCATACATATATATATATATATATATATATATATAACATACATATTTATTTAATTACCTGACAGCTTGTATTTCCATTTTCTCCTAATTTCCAATAATTTTGATGGTCTGAATCAGCAGCGAGCGAGATAGCGCATGCCAAAATTATAGACGTCGTCATCAAGCACGCTTTGTTGGTATCAAATACGCAATACAAGATGAGGCACAGCAAAGTTTTACAGAGAATGTCGTCCAGCGCGGTCTAGAAAATTTTTTGAAAACATATTTCAAATCGCCGACTGTGGGGATCGAACCCACGACCACGTGGTTAAAAGCCACGCGCTCTACCACTGAGCTAAGACGGCAAGCGCATTTGCTTTGGTGTCCAATTTTAAACTTATAACTTTACCACGCTATGAATTGATTATCCCAGTAGAACCGAAAATCGGCCTGGTGTCCAGTTTGATATGGGATGAAGGCAAAAATCAATTTAGAATCAACTGAATTCATAGGAAAATGATGGATTAAGAATTGTTTGAACTGGTCATACTTTTTTACTTTTATTTTTTTAAAAAAAAATCATGTTTCTAAGCTATATTCTCAGTACATCTATACATTATAAGCACGAAAAAAATAGTGCGACAATGTGCAATTGTGCATGATAAAACTATAATTTTTTAAAATATTTTTAATTTTAATAACATTTTTAACAAATTGAAGAGAAGACAGCCTTTCACCTTTTAACTTTAATACGCTAGTAAAACGATACTCGATTACCAACAAAGGCAAATATATATATATATATATATATATAATAAACCCATCTTATAAATTTAATTTTGAAAATTAATATTTTAAAAGATATTTCTTCAATTGTTAGACTCCCTTCTTTAAAAAATATAAAATATTTTTAATTAAATCTCACACTGCAATAGAATAATTACTCATTTTTAATTTAATCATATCTTTTTATATTTACTATATTTAATAAAGTGTTTTACTCTAAAAAAATGTAAAATAATATATTCAATAGAAGCATTTTAAAAAAATATAATAATTATACCTTAAAAAATTTAAAATATTTTATATTTTTTAATATTTAATTTTTAAAAAAATATTTTATATTTTTAAATAAAGAGAATATTTAACATATAAAATTAAAAATTTTTGAAGTTAATAATGTTAAGTTGATCATTGATTCACTACCTTCTCTGTTTCAATTATTATTTAGAGCGGTTGTCTCTGTCATAAATGAGAGACGTCAATCTCTCCTTTGTCTCTCAGACTGATTATCCATGAAGTGAAATCCTTGTATGATGTTCTCTGTTCTGTCTCATTTACAAAGTATATTTTAAAATATTTATTTAATTTTATTTATAAATTATGGTATAACTTTTTAAATAATATTTAAAAAAATTAAAATTATTCTCTATGAGAGAGAAAGTAATATAAAATTATTTTTTAAATTTGTTATATAAAAATGTATTTAAAATTCTGTACACTTTTATTCTTTATATTTTTTTTACATTGGTATTTATGAAATTGGTAAAAATAACTTATAAAAAGGATCAAAAAAGTATAAGCTATGTTGATAATACCTTAATATAAATTATTAAAATGAGAGATATTTTAGAAAAATCTGCACATATTTTTTATAAGCTAAGTAACCTTATTACTTAATTTTTTTCAGAAATAATGCAACTTTTAATCCTTTATATTTGGAGTTTTATCCTTACGTCCTTCAACTTTAAATTTTATCATTTTAATCTTTAATATTTTATGAATTTATCTAAGTAGTCCTTAATTTTATAAGAAGAATTAATATTATTAAACTATGTTGACATGGTTAACAGAATAATGATGTAACAGCCATCAATTCAATTCAATATATGCACACAAATTGTAGCTTCAATCTGATTAGTAAAATAAAAAAATAACTCTCATTGATTGGACTAATGTTAATATAAAAATTTTTCTTAATTTATTAATGAGGTTTAATTTATTTTTTCATATATTTTCAATTTACTTTCACGAGAACATTGATTCAAGAGCATTTTCATTTAAAAAAAAAATTGACTCTCATTAGTTAATAGATTGTAGGCTAATATTAATATAAAAATTGCTCTTAATTCATTAATGAGATTTAATTTATTTTCTTATTTTTGATATATTTTTAGTCTACTTTCACGAAAGCATTGAGTAGTCATATTTTCAAATTTCTTTAATTGTTAGCATTAATTTCATTCATCGATCCTTCTTCATTTGTTGTGCTTTATCATGCCTTTTTAATTTTTTTTATCAATGAGATTTAATTTATTTTTCTATTTTTCATGTATTTTCAGTTTATTTTCATAGGAGTATTGATTCAATAGCAGTTTCATTTTCAAATTTCTTTTATTATTAGCATTAACTCCATCCCACTATCCTTTTGCATTCACTGTACTTTCTTACGCATTTTCAATTTTCTTTATCAATGAGATTTAATTTATTTTCTTATTTTTCATATATTTTTTTGATTCACTATACTTAATATCAATCAATTATCATTCATACACATTATCTACAAAAAAAGAAAAACAAAATAAAAAAAAAGTTTAAGTTTAATTTGGATTGTCAATTCTTATCTCATGATATTGGCCCTTCAAATCGTAGATGTTTTACCATATATTTCGAGCCAGCAAGATAACGCGGCAACTACTTAAGCACTTTAAACAGACAAAACTTGAGTAGTAGAGGTATTTTTTTTATTACCCTTTTATTTTGCACATAAAAAAAGAATAATAATAACAAAAAAATATGATACAATTAAAAAAAGGGATTCCTTTTGATTCTTTCTTATATCCATATTTATGAAAATACAATTTATGTTGTAATTCATGAGCTGGTGTCTAATTTTTTATGCAATCGAAAATGAGGTTATTGAGAATGCTAAAGATTTTTTTTTTTTTTTTGCCAATGTTCTCTAAGCACTATAAGAACAAATATTTTCTAGATAATTTTTTCACTATAAGCTCGAGAAATAAAAACAAGATGTTATAAATAAAGTATCCAATCGAACAAATAATTGAATAGAGAAACTTCTAAAAATTTAATCATGTCATATGCATCAATATCAATAATACCAATGATACTTATTTTAAATTCCTTAATTACAACCCGTGCAATACATGGGAAACTGTTTAATTTAGATTAATAACATGTGGGGCAAGTGGGTTGACTTGGATAATTAAAAAATGAAAAACCATCTAGATTAAACTTTCAAGCGAAGTCTGCTAGGGTACTGGTTTGTAGATTTGCTTCTCCGTCATCATTGCTCCTTCCTTTCAACTCCAATCTCCATCCTCATCGAGTAGGTAACTCTTCTCCTCCTAAATCCAATCCTAAAAATTTGGAATGTATTGGCATTACATGTCCATAGATGCATAAAAAATTGTTCTTTAGTTCTTACTTTATCGTTCCTTCCCTACTCTACTGCCTATCTTTTGCACGACACGACAATCAGCAACATATAATATGCCTTAATAAAAAAGAATTAATATACAATTTTAACTCTAAACTATAGGTTTAAAGGTGATTTAAACCTTAAACTTTAAAAAGATGCATCATAAACCCTAAATAATTAAAGTTATAGGCAATTTCATCCCTATTATTAATTTTCAACAAATGTCTATCAAATTCATTCGAGAAAATTGCACTTTAAACCTCAATTTGATGAATGTTTGTTGAAAGTTAACGGTAGGGGCAAAATTGTCCCAACTTTAATTATTTAGGATTTAGAATGCACCTTTTTTAAAGTTTAGGGTTCAAATTACTCCTAAACCTATAGTTTATGATTCAAATTGTATATTAACCCATGTTAATATTACAAATTTATCAGGATATGAGAAAAAGAAATAAAAAAGATGAATGATGATGATGATGATGAAACTATATAAAATAAGGTTGTAAATCATGATAATGAGTAAAGTAGTTTTTTTGTAGAGATTATAGTGAGTATAAATGAGAGAATGTCGAGTTGCCTATTTTTGTTCTTGTTGGGTGGGGTTTTGATAGATTATTAGTGACAGCAATAAGAGTGTAACATAATCTTTTGCTATAAACACACTTTCATATTTTTTCTTGTTTGTTCTTCAATGTAATGGAATCTCATAATAATATTAGTAAAAAAACATCATCATTATTTGTTAGGGAAAAATTTAAAATAAATTCCCCTTCATACATTTTTTTTCTTTATCTCTTTATTTATTATAAAAGCATTTAATTTTGTTTTATAAATTTTAACCTTCATCAATTAATTCAAATCAAGAAACTTACACACTCCTTAAAAATCTTTTTAAAAATTGATATAATATACAAAATGTACTTTTTTTATTACTATTGGATTATTATTGATTAGAGTATATTTTTTAAAAACATAAAAAGGTTAATATGCAATTTGAATCTTAAATTATAGGTCTAGGGTGATTTAAACCTTCAGATTTTAAAAAGGTACATTCTGAATCTTAAACAATTAATGTTGGGGCAATTTTACCCTATCATTAAATTTCAATAAATTTCTATCAAATTAAGGCTTAAAGTGTAATTTTTTTTAAATGAATTTGACGAATGTTTGTTGAAAATTAAAATTATCCTAAGTTTAATTGTCTAGGATTTAAAATATTTTTTTAAGTTTAAGATTTAAATTGCTCTTAAACCTATGGTGTAGGGTCCAAATTACATATTAATCCAAAAAAACTATAATGTTAAATTATGAGTCATAAAATAAAAAAGTAAATAACACATAAGTAATCAGGACTTAATAAATTTAACTAGTGTGTTTTATTTAATCTATGTGTACATTCTACACTATAAATCTAATTTCCACATCAATTTTTTAAGGGTTATTTTGTCTAGCAAAACTCAAAGGAATAACTTGATGACTAAAACAAATATTAAGGATTGAAATGATAGAAATTTAAGTTGAGGGACCAAATTGATAAAACTTCCAAATGTAAGGGACTAAGAGTTGTTTTATCACCTTTTTCTAATCTAGTGAACTTGTTAACTTATATCATATATACTTAAATTTTATGAGAAATTCTTAGATAAATCAAGTGAGGCAACACGTCATCTATGGTCTGTCCAATTATAATGCTCCAAGTTGTCTAAGTAAAATATTATATGATATAATGTATATTTAAATTCTTGTTTTCTCTCTCTTTATTATCATTAATGTTAGAATCAATTTATATTTAATGCTCTCTAAATGTTATGCTTTTATGATATAGATTATAAATAACATAACGCACTCAACTTACCTTAAAATTTCTCTAAATTTTAGTATGCTGATTAATTATAATTGGCTTGTGTATGTATATGAAGCTTGAAGTGGATTGCAACGTTTTATCAAGGCATGGATGGCTCTTCTATTCTTTAATAACCCGTATCTATAATTTTTTTTAAAAGGCTAAATTCTGTATTATTTCTCTAAATTTTAAACAATGCATACATAATTTTCTTAATTTTTAAAACTTTACAATAAACCTCCCATTAACTCTTATACATATGTAAACGATTCTATATGATTAATTTTATATATTAATTATCTATACATGACTTAAAGTTTAAAGAGTTATCCATATATCAATTAAAGTTTGAGGGTTTAAATGTATACAAAAATAAAGTTTTAAGAGGTACTATAATTAATAGCTAAGGATTATTTGTATAAATTTTAAGTTCAAAGAGATTTTGTTATTAAATTTTAAATGTTAAAAAATTATTTATATATGATTTAAAATTTAGAGATATTATATGTAATTTAGCCCAAAAAATAAATGATCAGTCGCATCGACATTTTTTTGTTTCGGTTACTTTCCTCCTCCTTCTCTTCCTTTTTTTTTTTTGTTTTTAATCTTCTTCTTGGGGACGGACAACTTTCCCCTTCTTTTCATCAAAATATATATATATATATATATATATATATATACCAACTCTAAGGCAAACACTCTAAACTCTCAAGTTGATTATTTGAATTTAATATTTTTACATTTCTAACTCATATAATTATGTCGACTCATTTATAAATTCAAATTAAACATAAACTTAGTTAAACTTATGAGTTGATTTTTAAATTTACAGTTTTTACATTTTTAATTTACAAAATTATATTAACTAATTTATAATTCAAATTAAATATAAATTTAACTAAACTTATTAAACTCATTGATTTTTTATTGAGTTGAATGAGTTAAATATATGTTATATAGAACTCAATTTATAAAATGATAGGACTTGGTTCAAAAAGAAAAAAAAAACTTAAAAAACAAAAGCTAAAATTGGTAAAAAAAAAAAAAGAGGGAGAGGGAACAAAAAGTATCAAAAATGAGTTGCCTTTTTTGTCCTAAATTTTTATGTTTTGTATGATAGATGGATTTAATTTTAATAATTAATATTTGAAATATATTTAAATTAAATTATGATTATATTTTTTATTTTAATTACTTAATTATATATTTTTAATATATATTTATTAAAAAGGATAAACTCTTATGAATTTAAGACCCAAATTTAAATTTGTGTCATTAATTTATCTAAATTGGCGAGTTTGACACCTTGGAATGCAGTCTGGCAAAGATAAATGCGTGATGGATCCAGGATCCATCCCAACTCTCAAAAGCTTCGATCATTTATTTCCCATTAACATACATAGATGGATGTTGACCTATCGGCAGCAACGGTTGTTCGGGTTCTTATTTAATTATATTTAATAATCTGTTTCTGGAGTTGGTACAGGATTTGAGTTTTTAACTATTTAAGCAAATGCACCACTAATAATACAAATAAGCATCAGAGCAGCAGCAGGTAAAGAAATATGGAATAATTGGTTAAAGCTCGGATGCCTTGTAACTCTGTATATGCATGCATATTCTGAAATACACTGCAATTATAGCCGTTTCGTTTCCTTCCGACTAAGGCAAGGAAAGCGCAAAGGGCTGCGAATTAGACGAGTGATGTGTCTCCTGGTGAGTTAGAATCCGAAATGATTCATTCACCACAATACAAACATGGAAAAGAAGGCGGCAAACGACACAGCCACCAGACCCACGCACAACATGTCCAATCTCCCCTCTGCCCTCACCTTTTTCTCTATTCTCTCCTTCTTCTTCCCCACGAACTCCTTGTATCGCTTCCTCGCTTCTTCCTCCGCCTCCACCCCGACATTCTTCTTTCCCCTTTTACCCTCCATTGCCCTCTGTATAATCCCCAAACTCTCCCTCCCGTTCAAGTGCCTTCCCTCCATGTCCTCCATCTCCATGCTCACCTCCCTCACCTGCATCTCCCCTCCCTCAGCACCCCCGCACGTCACCACCAGCTGGCACAGGGCCAGCTCCGACGCCGATCCTTTATCTCCCACGAGAACCGACGCGAACCGAACCTGAAACTCACCGCTCAGCCAGTGCCGCTTCACCGATACCGGCTTCTGGCTCGAAACGTTCACGGCGCGCCGTCCCTCTCGGTCGATCACTATCCAGCTCAGCCTCAGCTCCCCGCACGAGTTCTCGCCTTCTGGGTATTGGACGGAAGTCTGAACCACGTCCTTGGGGTCCAGCAGGTCCAGCCGGAATGGCGAGCACCTGAACCAACCGGACACCGTCTCGGTTTCTAGAACCCTGGAGAAAACAATTTGTTGGCCGTAGTAAAGATCGACGGCGGAGATCAGCTGGGGCGTGCGGTCTGGATTAGCGTTCACATTTAGAGGAGTGCAGTGAGACGTGGTGGTGGAAGAGTCGGAAAAGAAAGAGCGGGAAGCGTGGGGGAAGGTTGAGATGATGCTGGTAATGAGGGGAGACCTTGTGGAAGGCCACGTGGATTGGCAAACACTGGCCCATAGGTGTTCGTCGGTAGAGAGGGCGTAGAACTGGGAAGATGTGGTGGCGACGGAGGCGAGAGCAGGACCGTGCAGGCGTGTGAGGATGTGAGTTCGGATGATGTCGTCCGGGACGGCGGAGATGGTGGTGCCGGAACTGGAAGCCATGTACTAGGAGATTCCTTGCTTAAGTTAGTCGTGGGCTAGTGTTTGTGAGGATTTGGGAGTCGTGGGCTCTTATATACCCGCGATGCGATAATGATGATGACGAATGTGAGTGATCAACAGCCGGTCTCAGATGCCCTTCATTTTCTCATCAATTACAGGATTGACCTTTAACCATAGTTTTGACGAGGAATGAAATATGTTGAAAGAACTTTGCGGAGCAAAAACTCCTAAAAATATTTTTTTAAAAAAGTTCCACTTTTAGTTTTTATCTTTTCTGTTTTTTTTTCTTTCATCCAAAATAAGATTTAATATTATTTTTACAAGCCCTTTCTAATTTTTTTAAAATTTTACTTTTAACCTAACTCTTTTCATGTGAAAAAAAAAAAACACACACACACACCTATGTAATGCTAGATTTAAACCTATAACCTCTTTTAAAATAGGGAGATGTCTTTGTTGTTAGAATACCTGATTGTTAATAAATTACTTTTAACTGCTTACTGACATTAAACAAAGGTAATTAAATTATTAATATTATCAGTCAAGGATAGATATATTTAATGTATCTTTGTTAAATGTATTATTTTTAAAATTACTTTCTATCTCATCTATAATCTTTTATCCCATTAATAAAAAATAATAAAAAGATAGAACTAAATTAAATTACTTAACAACCCCTTTTTTTTTTTCCAAAATGATTTGAAAATGGGAAACTGACAAAAAAAATCCTCTAAAATATCAAAACAACAATAAAATCTTGCAAAATGTCATATTTTTCAAGTCCTTGGGAAATTTTTTGACACTAATAATTTTTCTATAAAATAATTAAAATACCACCAATTTAAAATAAGAAAAGCAATAACTTTGACTTCAACAGAGTAAATATTAGTAGCTATTTTAGTCTAAATAATGATTGATTTTTTTTTTCTTGCAATGATTGGAACGAAACAAATAATTACAATTTTTTTATGCAAATTTTTGATTCATTAAAGTCCAAGCATTGTAAATAGTTATGACTATTTTAATTTAAATAATAACTATTTTTTTTCTAAAAATGGCTAAAACGGAACAATCAATTACAATTTTTTCTATATAAATTTTTTGTTCAACGAAGCTCAAATGAGGTAAATGTCAATGATTGTTTTGGCTTAAGCAATGATTATTTTTCTTTTGGCAGTTTGTTTCACTGAAGTAAAAGTATTATAAATATCTATTACTATTTTGATTTAAGTGGCGACTACCTTTATTCTAGCAATGACTAAAATGCAACAAATAAATTACAACTTCCTAATGTAAATTTTTGCTTTACTGAAGAAATTCGTATAGGAAAAATTATAATTGCTTGTTTTATTCTAATCATTATTATAAAAAAAATAATCAATATTTAAATTAAAATAGTCATTAATGTTTACTTTTTTTGGACTAGAGCTGTTGTACTCTTTTATTTTAAACTGGACGTATTTTAATCAATTCATAAAAAATTATTAATGTTATACAGATCTTTAAGAATTTTAAAAAAATTATGACATTACGCTTGACTTTATTGTCGTTTACATATTTTAGGAAGATTTTTCTATTATTTTTTTTATAAAAATATGTTAATTTCATTTAAAAAATGATTTATATATAAGAACGGGGGAGGAAGCTTTATCCTTGTTGTTAACTTTAATCAATGAAATTACCGATCTTAATCTAACATTGAAATTTTGCCAATTAATTTGAAGTCACTCTCAGCCATTCATCAGTCTTTATTTTTCATTTAACTCCTGTCCCAGCCGTGAAATGTCCCTAATTAATTATCGGAAATTTAGGAAATTAAACTTAACCCAAAAACCAAAAGCCAATGGATCTTAGGGTTTGACAGGCTTAGGCTCTTTGATGAAAGTTTTATTTTTTTTTAAATGTATCCTAATTTTGGACTTAATTATAATCGATTCAACCTCTAATTAAAAAATCATACCTTAGTTATATTTTATCTTTTTTAACAGTTTTAATGTTTTTGGATGTATAATCTACCAGTGGTCGAAACGTAATGTGATTGATAGACTGGCATTATGCTTGTTGCGCAGGATATTTTGGTAACTTTGACTCGATACTTTCACTTCCCATCGAACCGATTACAAGCAAGAACCAACCGAGTGAGGGCAAACCTGGCATGAAATTTTCGATTACCTTTAATATGTTCTTTTTTTTTTTCCGCCTGGCCTCATAATTCCTCCTGCTACTCTAAATATTTTATACTTTTTAATAATTTTATTATTAAAAACTAGTTACAAATAATTTGTATCATTAATAATTAAAGTTTGTCGTTCCTTTTTAAATTTACCATCCAATTATAATCAAAACATATATTAATTTTTTTATCTTATTTTTTATTCTAACGCAATATCTATCACAATATGATTAATAAGAGTTTTTGTAAAAAAATTAATTTAATGATATTGATTTTTTTTTTACAAAGTATCATATATTTTAGATAAACACTGACTAGTAGAAAAATAGCATATGTATTTTGGATTAAAGGGGTATATACATCCCTCTCTTCCATCTTATATATGATTTATTCTCGAGAAAAAAAATTGATGCTTTTTTTATAGGTTATTTTCCATAATAATAAATTATTTCCTTACAATTTTACTCATTTTACGATTTAATCTCCAATCACATTACACTTGGAGCATATTTTATGGCTTGGAATATTTATTCACCGGCATGAGCGCTGTGGACCCCACAGTGACAACATAATCCCTCCAGATTTGATTCTTTTATTGTATGCCTAGTTATTTAATGTGGATAGTAGCTGAGTTTTTTTCTTAAAAAAAAAAAATTGTTTCCACGAAAGGTGGCTCGTTAGTCATTAATGTCGTAGTCTTGACTCTTGAGTTGCTTCTTATATGTTCCAATTTTTCAAAACACATACAAAAAAAAAAAATACTAGCATTGAAATCTAGGTTATAGGTAAAAATTTGCTTTTTTTTTTTTGTTTCAATCCTATCCTCGATTAAACGTCACATGATAAAGTCTACGTCCTTAAATATTTGAGAGTGAGATATTTTCTGTAAGCAATGTTTTTTTTTAAATATGGTTTAACTACAGAGTATATAAACGTGTATTAAGATTTATATTCAGGGACAAGAAAAAATAAAAATTGAGACTTAAAATATGGAAGAAGTTATAAGAATTACATTCGACGACAGGCCGACAATGGGAACAATCCATGAAACTTAAAAGAATCGCCTTCACGGAGCAAATAGCGTATTTAAAAACTGCTAACGGTGCCAAAGTGGTTTAGCGTGAGCTTGCAATTGAGCTACGTCGTTGCCGTCTAAAATTCGCGTCCCTCAGCCTGCTTTCTCTAGATAATAAGGTCCACCATTTGGTGATGATAATTGAGGAGCTGAAGAAGGCAGTATTGCCGATTCAAACGCGAGACTTGACAAGTGAGAGCAACGTGCCCTTACCAGCAAACCCCAAATCCAAAGGCAATAAGGTCTTGCATTTAGATCCTAACAATGATAGAAATAAAATGAATTTTAAAATATAAAAATAAAAATAAATTAAATTATTTTTCTTTTTTATAAAAAATATGATAAAAATTTAATATTATATACTACAAATGTAAAAATCATTACACTCTCCAAAAATATCATGAATTATGATTTTTAATTTTACAAAAATTAAATTACGATTTTTCCTTATGAATATAGTTTATTTATCTCTCTCAACATTTTAATCATATTATTTTTTTTTTTTTTTAATCAATTTCATTTCAATCCCTTTTAACAATCAAACGAACCCTTATAATTAAGTGCACTATTCATGGTGTCATGTTTGTTGATTTTTATATTTTTCCATTATAAATTATGGATTTAATAATAAATAAGAAGTTGAAAGTAGGTTCATGCATAACTCATCGCATTGCATATTACACTTATATTATTAATTATCTCATACACTTGCCCGTTTAAGGTCAATGCTGAAGTCGGATGAACTATACAGTAACATACCCACAAACATTTCATGACAAAAAAAGGTTCATATTTGCTTACATCAATGTGTGCATATAATTTTGGCGCAAAAATGTGTATACATAATTAATCTATTCTGCGCTGAAATCAACAATGTGTGTTTATAATATATCTATATACACACATACACAGTGTATTCATGTTGGCCAAAAACCAAAACACTTCCTCCATTCAAAAATATAATCATTATTTTTTAAAATGTTCTTATTAATAAATGACTTGATATTTATTTTAGGATATTTGATAGGGATAAATATAAAAAAATATAGTTAATTTAAAAATAACTAATTACTTGATTGAAGGATGATATTTGATTAAAAATAACGTGTATATTTTTTAATGGAGGAAGTACGTGTATAATTATATTTGTAAGAAACTATGGTGTACACAGACAGAATATAAAACTCCTTAGAATTATAGGTTATGAACAGTATACAATTATAGCACCCACAATTCATTTGAGATTCTTATTTTGATCAACTTTAGTTAAAGTTCCTGTAATTTTTTATTAATAAACTACTTCTTAGAATCATTATAGCCAACTTGGTTCAAAATCTCTAAAGATGATGTGTCACAAAAATATTGCAATATATAACATGTTTCTAATGTGGTAATGATGTTGATAAAAATATTAAATTATAAATTAGCCCCTACTGTTTATAAGAGTTGGCTTTGATTATTAATTGATAAAAAAACTAACTAAAAATGACTGAAAATATAGAAAGGATGAAAAATTATATAAAATGACCAATATAATTTTATTAGTCATTTTATATAATTTATGATATCATTTTTCGTAATTTTTTGTTAATTGATGATCAATGTTAATATTTACTAATAATTGGGATCATATTGCCCTATTTTGAAAATATTGAATGGAAATATTACACAAAAAACAAGTTTAGTGTCTAAACACTCTTGAACCTATTGTTTAAAAGCCAATTTTGCCCCTTAAGCCTTTATAAAAACAAA